TGGAGTCGGGCACGTGCACTGGCACAGATGTTTGCTTCTTGAGATCCTCGGGCAGGACATGACCGACCAAGACTGGGAAAGGAAACTGACTTCAATTCCCTTTGTGGCTGTGGTCGACTCGAAATCGCTGTTTGACTGCATGAGCAAGTTGGTCTGCACATTTTCCCAGGTAGATGACAAAAGAACGGCAATTGACATTGCTATTCTCAAGGATGATCTCTGCCGCACCGGAGGACATCTTCGATGGGTTGAAGGAACCAACATGATAGCGGATCCTCTTACCAAAAAGATGAACGCTGATTTTCTTCGAGGCGTTTGTAACATGGGTTACTGGGCGCTTAATTCAAAAGGACATGATCAACTCCTTAAGAAGCACGATCTGTTATTTCTGATGTTGTGAAGGGAAAAGAAAGTGTGTCCGGTGTAAAGCCGACAAGAGGCTAACGGACCTTCTTTTCACAACTGCAGTGTGGGGCCCAAGACAGTATGGACATGGTCCGCGGATCGGGGTTACGTGCTAGCGAAAAGACCGAGTTCTCGTCTTGCCCTGCTGAGTCGGTGCTTGCGGTTTATAGATTCTTGATACCCAGCTCTTTCTCTTTCTTTCCCGCGCGTTAAGTGCGTAACCTAACTTACTTGACCTAGCTTACACAGCAGCTAATGCCGAGCCTCTACAACTAGCTTAGCTTAGCTCTATGCACCTAGCTCTATGCACTTGGCTCTATGCACCTGGCCGATGCACTTCGCTCTTTGCAAATGGCTCTGTGCACTTAGCTCTGCGCACTTGGCTCCTTGCACCTCGCTCTTTGCACTTCGCTCTGAGCACTTGGCTCTATGCGCTTGGCTCTTTGCACTTGGCTCTGCGAAAGTAACTCTATGCTGGTGACTCTGTGCAAGTATCTCCATGCTGGTGACTCTGTGCAAGTATCTCCATGCTGGTATCTCCATGCTGGTATCTCCGTGCTGGTATCTCCATGCTGGTGACTCTGCGAAAGTATCTCCATGCTGGTAACTCTGTGCAAGCTAGTCTGTGCTAGTAACTCTGCGCGAGTATCTCCATGCTGGTATCTCCATGCTGGTGACTCTGTGCAAGCTACTCTGCGCAAGTTGACCAAGAGCTCCTGGTATCTCCATGCTGGTGACTCTGTGCAAGCTACTCTGCGCAAGTTGACCAAGAGCTCCGCACGGAAGAACCCTTCGCAATGCTTTCGGGAACAAAAACAAAACAGACACGAATTTTGTTTCCACTCGTGGCATCATTAAGGGAATATTGCCATAGAGTGAATTTGTTATTCGGTCTAAAACCTTTGTTATGCGGAATAGTTTAGTGATAGTATATTGGGAGAATTTTTGTCGTAGTTATTTATATAAGTAAATCGTATGTTTCGATGAATTAAAGAGGTACGTTACGTTTATACGAGTACATTTGGAGTCGGTGTTTTTGTGCGTTCGAAGTGAATTTTCTGTATGTGTACGCGGTTGTGACTACGCCTAGAACATGGTGAGAAATTCCAAAATGTCCGGAGCCAACAGAACTGGAAATGCAAATGAAGTTCTCGTGATCACTGCGCCATTCAGATGGCAGTAGCTTCTCCTCGGACATGTTTGGATTCTCACTCATGGGGTCGACATTCACCGATCGAGGATGGCGCCAATCTGCGCCCGCACTTCCTAGCATGAGCTGGTCAGTAGCTTGCGCCGTTCTCCTGAATTGACCACATAGTCGGGAAATATGTTTCCCAGGGATGCGGTGGATCTACGCAGTGATCTTGGTCTACGCATCGCTTGCGGACCAACAGAATACATGTGTTGCCAGGCAGTCCAGGACACTGTGGAAGCCGCCGATTTTTTCTCGTAGTTCAATGCAGCTTGAATGACGGACCTCTTGGAAGCCGCCCATTCTGAAGAGATACGGTATGGTTCGTCCGGCTGGATGAATATGGGTTCTGTTGTCTTCACCCTTGGTCTCAATTGTGAGGGTCGCTTCCCGTGCGTGCCCTTTGTTTCCGGCGTCTGCGTAGAGGATTCTGCTATCATGGAAAGCCTGGCCGGATTGATTTTTTGCTCTTCTGAGGCAACTCCCAGTCAGGATCATTTCCACGGGCACTGGTGATGAAATCTCTGAATATCGTGCTCCTGTCTTGGTTCTGTTGAGTGGAACCTTGGTACACTCGGATTCTGAAAGCAATCCACACCACACTCTGAAGTATGCTCCAGACATCACCCAGGCCGTGGATTTTGTGACAGCACACCTGTGGATAAGGTCCACTCTGGCTGTCTTGCCTCCTCGCACGAAACATCCAGTTCCTTTGCATCCTCCCCGGGTCAGCGCAATGCCGGTGTAGCCGGCCTGAAAGGAGAATTGCTGAACAGTGGGATTTGTTATTTTACTTGGTTCTTGGAGGAATAGTACATGTCCGGGGTTATTGCGGATCATGCCCAATATGATTCATCCAGGTTGCCTCTGTTCTGGTTTCCAGGACAAATTGGCTGTCACCCGCAGTTCCCGAAATTTACAGTCAGGATGCTGAGTCGGGCCGTGGATGTCTGAGTTGCCCCCATTTCATCGGACATGTTGCAGAATCTCAAACTACGCTTTTCGTTTCTTGCTTTTGTCATACGAACAAAGTTGCTGGACGACATGCGGTAGCCGAATTGGATGGCCGATTTCAGGCTGGCGGCTGCAGAACTCCTTCCAAGTTGAGTTGCCCTTGTCCTGCTCCATGTAATACTTGTATTCTTCTTCCCTGGCGAGGGCACGGATGCTCTCAGACAGTCCTCCCAAAAAAGTAAAGTTCGGACGCCTTGTAGCCCTCGTCTGACAATTTGTCCATGAGGTCGTTAGCTTCTTGTCGAAGAGTCGAAGCCATTCTATCCCAGCCTGTATGCTTCATGTCGATTCCGTTGATTTACTTGATGAGCTCTTCCCCAATGCCGCGAGAACATCAAAGTATAGTCTTCTTGTTTACCAGCTCCTTGGATGTTTGGGATCGCTCTTGCTCATCGTTGCTCGCGAACCACCGTCTTTTCCCCACGTGCTGTTGTCTTCCAGGTGCTCCAGTGGGTCCACGAATTTCAAGCATTGGATCAGGATGTTGGCAAGTTTCCAGTCAGAGACAGAAGATGGTTGATTCTGTCGGTGATCTCTTTCGACCTGGATTCCTCGTTCAGCAGGTAGGCGATCACCTTACTTATCGAAATCTTGTCCTCGGTGATTACGATCTGGCCCGCGGATTCTTGGAAGCTTTGTTTGGCATCATCGGATCTGTATAAGAATAGCGTAACGCAAGGAAGATTCGGTTTGAACTCATGAAAGGGAAAATTGTACGGCTTCCCAGTCTGAGGCTAGCCGGTGACATTTACGCAGCGGTTATGTGTCCTTCCATGTTAGAGTCGGTGACTTCCCGGAATCCTGTATCCTTCCTTGAGAATTGCTTGAAGTCCTTTGTCATTTGTAGCGTGCGCCAGTACGCTGGCGAGAAAATCTTCTTCGCCGAGAAGGTCATTGGATGCCAAGGCAACGACGTGATCGAGGTTCGCTTCACTCGACATTCAGCTTTCGGAGAACCTGATCCGCTACCACATTTGAGATGGTTACTAGGGGTCCAAGTGGCCCCGGAATACACACCTCGTAGGTCCTGGGTGCACCTACTCCAACGCAGAATAGATTCGTAAATGGAAGAGGTCGGAGACCAAGTGTGTAAGCATTGCTTGGTTGCCTTCTGGGAACAACTGCACAATGTACCGCGCCCAGCAATGCGCATTTGCTTTCCTATCTGGGATAGCTACAATTAATGCACAGGCCTTATTGTGCCAAAACTGGCATGCGGATTGCTTCATGAGTGGAACACTGTGAATCAAGCACAGAGAAAAAAAGAAACAGCGGGGAGGCGGGGGGTCGACCGAGCGTAGCCAAAAACTGCGCCAACCAGAGTTGTCACGCAGCGCAGAAACGTGCAAGAACAATTAGTAAACAACATATTTCAAAAAAAGCGCAGAAGCATGCAAACACAACTGCAAGAAACGCACGCGGCCGCTTTCTGTTACCAATTTCACTGCAGCCGCAGGAGCCGGCGGAACACGCCAACAGCTGGCTAAATAAAGTAAAAGGACTAGGACATGAAGGAGAATTTGAAAGGACATGAAGGGGCCATGATGAGGAAATGGTAGGAAATGACAAAGCATGAAAAGGAAATGAAGGTGAAACCCAAGAGAGATGCGTGGAATCAACGAGGGATAGTAAAGCGACAATGAGACAGAAATGACTGGAACGCGCGCGCCTAAAAAGGCAACTCCGGGGGAATGACGCTGCCACGCAGACCCTGCTTCGGCTTGACGGTGGGAAACTTAAAAGGACACGCAGGCGTGCAACTTGGCGGACTGAGCCGGAGGCTCTCAAGTAACTGGCAGGGAATATAGGTAGCCAAACAGAAAGCAGCTTGAGAAATTCTAGCTTGACAAAAAACAGCTTTCTTGGGCGCCTCACACTACTACATAAAGTAGAAAAACAGGGTTGCGTATTTGCGCACGTGAGCGGCTTGTTAACCAAGCGCTTCCAGGTTGGCGAAGTTTGGGCTGGTTTTGCGCTTAAATGTGACTATGCGTAGACTGCGCAGTCAGACCCTATTCTGCCCTTGACAGAAAGTGCTGCGCAATGACACGGTTGCTTCACCTCTGAGACCCAGTCTACAGCATGGAATTCGAATGCGTCGGGCAGTTCTCTGGGCAAGGCGCAGCATGTGTCCATGAAATGAGCCACGCTCATATCCGTTTGGTCTACTATGTTGGGTCTGCGTGAATCGTCATCAGTTGTCGAAGAAGGAAGGGCCCCCCCGAGCTCAGCCGAATTTAAAGATTCGGCCTGGAAGGCGCATGCCCCTGAACATTCTCAGGGCTCTGTGAAAATCTTGCCCTCTTGGGAGATTCCATCTTCGCCGCCTTGGGCGATCTCTCCACATCCTCATCTTGAACAGGCAAGAAGTTGCAGACTTCAACCTTGCCTGGGCGTTCAAAGGATCGAGCTCCAGAACTTCGAGAAAGGCCCCGCGTTCATCCTGGCTCCAGGCTTCAGCTCCAGAACAGCTCACACCAGAGCACCTTGATACGACCAAAGCAAAGGACCTCATCCACACACACACACACGACTGCAATCCGCAGGATGCTGAATGTACGCAGGAGCAGGCCCATCTTGAACTGCTCTAAACATGAGAAGCTTCGTTTGGCTTCAGTTCTTTAACAAACACGGGGCCCCATATTCGAGACCTATCTTTGCGTGTGCCTCGCATTACGAGCCTGCAGCGGCTGGCGGGCCACAGAGCGCAGCTCAGTTTGCATGACCCGACCCTTCCGAATGTCACACAAGCTGAAGGATTGAAATCTGTTGAACTATTGCTCCGCAAATTGAAGCCTTCTAAGTGAAAACAACGAACCAGCTCAGTGGCACATACGTGCATTGACAGTGCGATTGCTTGCAACTTTCAGCATCTGTCTGCTTTTCGGGCAGCCGCAGGAGGAAGAAGTACGCGGAGCAATGGAGTGTGTAAGATCCCTGCTACGTTCAGACATAAATCCGCCGACCCCTTGTCCCAAGGGTGAGGTGTGTCCATCTCTCTTCTAAAGAGGGTTCAAACGAGACGTTAGACGCCTGTCAGGCTGTTATTTGGAGCACTTTTTGGCTCAGAACCAGCCTACTACAGGATTGGCTTTGGGGCTCGCTCACAAGCGGCCTTGCTGGTGATGCTAGGGATGCTGCCGCTGTGTCCCATGTCTCTTCTATGTAGGATTCGAAAAGTGACATTAGCCACCCGCCGGGCTCTTGTTTGGAGCACGTTTCTGCTTGAAACTTTAAGGCGCTGCTGTGTCCCGTCCCTGTTTCGGCTCGAAACCTGCCAACCTTCTTCATGATCTTTGGTCGTCCACGAGCCGTGGAGCAGCTCTCGAAACTTCACGGGTCAGCGCCCTGCAGCTCTGATTGTGTGTCTCTGCTTGTGTGTTTGTATGTTTGTGTGTTTACGCTTGCGTGTCGGTTACCTATGTATGTATGTGTGCATGTGTGTATGTATGTGTGTTTGTATGAATGTATGTTTGTAGGTAGGTATGTGCGTACGTGTGTGTGTACGTATGTGTGTATGTCTTTGTGTGTCTCTATGTTTGTATGTGTGTGCCTGTAAATATGTGTAGATATGCAACTTAGTTGCTGTGTCAATGTAGCGCATGTCTGTGTGCGTGTCTATGTGTATGTGTCTGCTTTTATGCAAGTGTGTCTGCATGTGTGTAGAAGTGCCATGAAAACACAAGCGACCCAATAAGAACCCAACAAACCGAAAGCACTTCCTGAAACGTAGATTCTGCCGAGTTTTCGAGAAAATAATAACAGCCCTGGACCCGAAAGGCGCTTCCCAAAACATTTGCGCTGCCTCGTCTTGAAAAATTGCGCAATGAACCAAAACGCTCTTGGCAAACCGGGGGTGGGAATACGTGTGTTCATCCAAAAAACGTTTCCCAAAACATGGGCGCTGTCGAACGCTACTTCGATTCAAAAGGCACATTCAAAAAACTAAATGGCGCTCCCAAAACATGGGCGCTGCCACGTTCAAACAAAAGAACTGAACAAAATATGTATTAAAAAACACAACGCGCTTCCCGAAACGTGGGCGGTGCCACTTTACTTTTCAACAAACATCCGCAAAACACAAACCTTGTGTCAAATCGAGAGGCGCCTCCCAAAGCGCGGCGGAAAGGCGCCTCCCTGAACATGGACGCTGCCACGTTCCAAAATACATATGTTGAACCAAAAGGCACTTCCAAAAAGGTGGATGTTGCCACGCTTCAAAACAAGAATGGGTGCTACCACACCAAACAAAACATCTGCTGCGTTTCAACCGGGAAACATGCAATAAACCCACAATACGGAAACAGGACCAACCCACACAACTAGGGGGCAACGACCAGCGCTGTACATTTTTTTGGGGGGGGATATTTCTGGAATGTCCAACATAATTTTGGACATGTTCGCTGCGGTCATCATGATGGACAAAGGGGTTGGGGGGGTGGGGCCCCTGTTCAAAGAAGACCTTCCGCCCCTCCTCAAATATAAATTGTTCAGGCTTCTCTCCAAACCTGCGTCACGCTCGGCGCCGGGGGACGCAGACATGTGCACTGGCAGGGGGGTGGGGGCAACAAGTAGATAACATAGGGGTTCTGAGATTAACCGGTTGCTTTGTTGTTTCATATTTTTCATACGTTCAGCTGACAGTTCCGGGGAATTGTCCGGTGCATTTGATTTACTATTTGTTCAGCACTTGCCCGCCTGCGTTGCTCTATTTTTACAATTCGTTTACTTTCAAAATGTCAAGTAATGGCAACATTATTCGTTATTTATTGGTCTTTGATGAGGCAACTTAATTTACCCTCTTCGTTTATTAACCCCAAGAACTTGGGAGTATGCAGGGTAAAAGAGTATTTCATAACCTTCTCCATCTCAATTTTCGTGACACCAAAAACCGTAGTACAACAGCTGACCATCTCTTCAAACATGTCTTAACGAGTTTGCATTAAACAATCACCACGAACCATTGTCATATATTCTAGCTTTTCACAAATTTCACTATGTTCAGCGTGTCTTCTGCTTCTGTCTTAGGTTGTCCTGATGTCGTGTTGCTCTTTTGTGCTTCGCTTTATGATGAAGCCCCATCATGATTTGACAACAAGGACAATCATATTGGTTGCGTTTGTCTCCTTTTCATTTTGCTTTGTTGTTCTTCCATATACTATATACTCTTTACATATACTCTTTACTCTTTTTAAGTAACCTTCTGCGCAACCTTTTACTTTTTTCATTTAATAGGTTCATAACAGTCTAAGACACTTATATTTTCAAGGAGGTTTCAGACGATTTGTTAGCTTTCTGGGGGGGGGTGAAGGATAAGTACTTTCATTTTTTGCAGGGCTGGTGTGTTGTTTCAAGTTCATCCTCACAGTCAGCATCAGTGGGAACAGGGACGGCAGCTACCAAACAAATCAACAAGTTTATAGAGTATTCAAATTTCAAAGACATTTAATAACAGAATAACATGCGAATCTTCTGTTATTACTTGTAACAGGATGGAAACGCCAAATATCGATGATGTGCGCGCAGGAAGACCATTCGCTCTAAATTAACAGATAATGTCGGTTCGAGAAAAGGCAAAAACGTAGCCTTCATCAGTTTCTACTAAATTCTGTGATTAAACTTGACATTGCAGGACAGGCAAACCAATGGCTTTCGCTTCCTTCGCTACTAGCAGGAGTTACTCTAAACAACACTGACGCAACAGCAAATCACGAACTGAATTGACACAGCCGGTTTCTTTGATAGGGTGCGTGTGTTATTGGGTGATGTCATTGTGTGCGATGAAGTTCTCTTTCTCGTGCGGGCGCAAGGCAAGATTTGTTAAACTCATCAGAAGACAACAGAGTTGATGAGGCGTTAGGTTTGGTGATACTCTTCTTGATCACGATGAACGGCTTGTAACCTGTGATGCAACTATAACAAAAATCCAAGCAGTCATTAAAAATGCCGCCAAGAGCAATTAAAGCAAGTAAAAGTGCAAATGCCGGTTTTGATTTAAACTTGAAGTGCTTTTAAAACTTGCGAAAACTGGATACCTTTGTCTTCTTGTCCCCATCACGATTCAATTATACTTCACCACTGGTGTAGAAAAACCCAACTGTTGACAGTAGAACAGGACTTTTTACTGCTGCTAATACGAGTACCGCTTGGTCTATTACAACTTTTTTTGTAAGCAATGTCTACACTCTTGATGACCGTGTGTATATGCTGAGTATGCTAAAATCCTTGAAACAGCCTCGCTCCCTATGAGTTTTGAAACTGAAACCTTACAAGGACAAACAGCCTCAACATCAAGCAAAGTATTAAACTATGTACACTGCTTGTTTCTTTTTCAAAGGCATCTGAAAACTGTTGCGTAGGCGGAAACGGTGACGTTAAAAGAATGTAATTTTATGTGCCGGTCACTGGCGCGCGCAGCAAATGATAAAGGGTACTATGACTCAGAACACGATTCACCTGCTTCTTTGGTGATTGGTAACCATGTTGTGATGCCGCAGGAGGCGCAAAGGGTTACAGAAGCATACTTCTATCTTACGTGTCCCCACGCTGGTTCATGCGGAAGATTGTAGGTTTCATTGTTTTTATGTAGGGTTGGAATGTCCAAAAGGTAGAGAGTGCTAATTAGACAGGTGTGATCCTAAAAAATCAGTTTACCAAGCAACAGCTAATTGCACATATTACTGCGAAATCAGAGTTCCAGAACGGAGGTTGGTTTACCGAGGCAGATCAGTATAATGAGGCATCAAGTAAGTTAGATACATCAATAAAGTAAAACAGTAATGCGACATGTAACAACCGCAGCGACATTCAAAAAAAGAAGAAGTTGGAAATGACAACGATTTACTTTTGCTAGTTGTGCTATGGAAGCTTAACAGGCTCAACGATGTAAAATTTGTTAAAACAGGTCACAACGATTGTGTCTAGTTTACAGGTATGTGGGGCTTTTTTCGCGTCCTTCTATTTTAGATATTAAAGGTTCTGATGCTCGTTATGTTTTACAAAGTGCATTGTTCTACAGGATTTTTACAGGTGACACAAATACAATAAACTCCGTAATTACTATCAATAGTTCCCAGGATGCAAAAACAGATACTAACGCTCCATCAGTAGCAGGCACCATAATTTTAGCGATACTACAACTTTACATGGGAATTTCAATACGCCTCGCGTATATAACCCTGAGTTCAATACTAATAGAGAAGGTAGAATGTGGATGAGTGCGCAGGCGGTCAGTGGGAAACACAAACCGAAGATGCTAATGTTGGTCGTGTGTGTGCGAAGGATAGGTTCGGTTTAGGCGCTGTTGGTGTTGTAGGTTACAAGTTGTACCGCGCTGGTCAAGCGAGTTTTACTGACGCAGTCGAGTTTAAAGGCACTGACAAGGCAGTATCCCTCAATACTGGTTCATAACGAAATTTCAATAAAAATTGTTCAGTACAAAGACACACACCCTATGCGAAAAAAGGTTCGCGTATGGCGCGTGACAACTTTGTTGCTGTCAGTCATGCTTTTAATGAACACTCTAGGTGTGATGGATTGGGCAATAACACCATTTTAAGAAGCAAGCTGTTGATGTGTTAGGCAGAATTTATACAAAGGCTGATGTTATTTCTGAAAGTTTTAATATTGCTACTGATGGTGAAGTAATAACTGGTACAAACTGGGAACTACACAGATACGTTAGTGCGTTTTCATCGTTGGTGTGAGAAACACCGATGCTAACTCTCCAACTAGGTTGATTTGTG